AATATTATAAATTAGAATCATCTATATCTCAGATTTTTTACCTTCTATGGTGAGTTAAAAGCATTGTTAGTGAATGGTGTTATTGGAATTGGCTATTAGGAATGATGGCTGAAGTTCAAATAATAATTATTTGCTCATAATATTCAGATTCATTGAGTTTCTAATCATCTCCTTTATAGGAACTATTCAAGGATTTCTAATTGAATTTATGACCTTGTACTGAAATCACATCTTGAAGCTCTTTATGTTTACTTATATAAGTCTAGTCATCTTATCCTTATACTTATTTTTCCCTCATAGTCTTTCTTTGGTATTCTAAGAGAGATGCTTTATTTAAGAAGTTAATTAACTAATGCAAAATTTACTCCTATTATCTTCATATTTAATTAAGACTTTCTTATTTATGTCATAGCTTTCGCAAGGACTACAAGTATTCCTGAATGTCAGCCTCTTGTCTATCTCCCTCGGCTTTTAAACATAATAAAGTGCCTGGATTCTTTATTCAGTATTTCAGATCTCCTTTCTTTTATGTCATAAAAGATAAATTCACACAGCTGCACTGACAACATCACAGCTTTGAAAATGCGTCCACCCGTTACCTTATAAATAGTTTTGTCACTTATTTTAATCCATCTTCCTCTGCCCATCACTCTAATGTCAAACTTACAGGTTTAAGAATGCACTTTTCTCAACTTCCAGGATTAAAGCAAGAGTCCAAAAGTCTGCTCACTTAACTTACACACTGATAGAGGTATCATTTTGACTGACAAGATGTCAATCAACAAACATTCTCATCTAGGAGTATTTAATAATGTTGCCCCAGCATTTTTATTTCGATGAATACTCAGTGCTAACAATGACAAAGGTCTACCTATCCTAAAATGTGTGTAGGTCAAAAGGGCTGAGTGGTGACCTATCCCTCTTCTCTGTTTTCAGTATTTTAGTATAATCCTTCATGTTCTAGAGCTGTTAGATAATTCTGGTGGTTCAACTCTAGAAATATATATATATATAAAATTGTTCTGCTCATTTGTCCCAGTCAAGTTTTTCTTTCTTTAATATTAATCTTTTAGAGCCTATAGCTTTCAGTATATTAAAGTTCAGAACGGAACTAAAACAAAAGAAATAACACACAACATCCACAGACCAGAATTTCTGGAGAGAGTGGAAAGTCTCTGGAGGTCATGGAATCTACCTTGAAGAAAATGGATTTTAATATGTATCTAGGACTTAAGCTGAAAAGTCCTTCATTTGTTCTAAAGTTAATAGAGGATTTTCAAATGAGCTGGAATAGATGCTAAGAAGGTGATTTGTGAATTTTATCATTTTACCAATTCCCTTCTTGTGAAGGATTAATCAGGAATGATTTGTGATTTTCTATAGGTTACATATAAGAAATCTGTCTCAACAAACATCATCACTTTCTAAGAGTTGTAAAAAACTTAGTTGTGCTTTCCAATGCGTATGTTTCCTTTAATTTCTGAGACTCCCTTGTTGCAAACCAGAGATGAGGTTGAGAGTTACTGTGTAGGTTCTGTTTACAAAATAGCTGTTTCAACTAATAAATTGAATTTGTGTTCTCCTGACTCCTAGTGTGGAGTTCTACCCCAATCATAATTCATTCTGAATCACCAACAGTCTGGACCAGAATCATTATTTCTATTTGACTAGTCAAATTTATACTAACTTGAGAAGCATAAGTTAGATTTTATAGCTTGAAAATCACGAGTCTCTTCTAACTACAACTTCATCATTAAACCATGCCACTGCAGTTATATAAGCATTTGCATTTAAAATGATTATAACTCAAATTTGTTTTCTGTTCCAAAAGCCCACCATAAAAATCAGCGCAATTTAACTTCTCTTTTAAACAATGGATATATATCTATGAACATTTAACATAAAAAGAAAATAATGTCACCCATTGTACTCACATGGCACCGTGCGGAGGTAGAGGTTGTCACGAATGATTTGCTGAAGTTCGTGGTCGACAGAACCCTTCTGAAATCGTAAGTTGAGGTAGTGACGAAGGTCCTTATCAACAATTCCTCCTAAAATGATAAAGTTTCTTTGTAAAGGATGTTGGAAAAAATGTTAAGTATGTAATTTGATTCTGTAATAAATATACTCAGGAACCCATTAAAAAGATGCATTATTTCAAATTGCTCTTTTGATCTTCTGAAACATTTGCTGCCATGATAACAAAACAGATAATACAAACTGAGATGGTAATTGTCCACCAGGTCTATGCTCAATGCTTTGCATGTATTCTTGAATTTATTCTTCATTTAGAATGAAGTCTATCTCACAGTAAAAGATATGTCATTCCTGAAGTAATACTGAAATATTATAATATACCTCATTGCATGGTGAAAAAGATCATTTATTCATTCATTCATTACTTCCCATTCTGACCTCTCCCAACCCCTGGCAACCACCTGTCTCTATAAATTTGACTGCTCAAAGTACCTCATATAAATAGAATCTATGTTATTTGCTCTTAAACAGGCTTATTATGCCTTCAAAGTTTGAAAAGACTTTTAAGTTATTTAAAGTTACTCAAGATGTAAGTAAATAGGGTGATATGAAAAGTTAAAAAAAACTACACAAATATTAATGATTGTATTTCCTTTATACAATAAATCAGAGTAACTTCTATGTTCTGACGTATATGTACAGATATTTTTTAACTA